ACTTTCATATAAAGTATATCTGAAAACAGATATTACTTAAAATATATTTTCTTTTGAAGATATTTCACTAGTGGAAGTAAAGTTTCAGATTACTTACAAAGAAAGGAATCTGTTTTCAGTTCTAAGCTGTTTTAGAAGAATCTTTTAGTATCCCAATTAGAATGTGGTCTCAAAAATGCCCATGAAGTGTGAGGGAACAAGTGTCAAAAAAGTCAAGATGAAAGTTGTGCTGGCATAACCAAGGCTCCATGCCTTCTTTTTGCACACACCGTGTCATGCATAAATAAGAGTCAGGCCTTCAATTGTGAATTTGTGGCTTCCATTTGACTTTAATGATCTGTTCCATGTAGATACCTTTGTCCATAGAAAGAGTATGCTAATAGAATTGTGCAAACAATAGGATTCTTCTAATGTCCTGGGATAATTCCATTTGTGTGGGATTCATCTCTGAGTGCTGCATGATCACTTAGCTCATTCAATGCAGTGTTTATCAACCTGGAAATTCTTGGAATTGAAGACTACCTCTCTTAAAGTAGCCAAGGCTGAGAAACATTAATTTAATACAACACATAGTTACATTTGCGGCTCTAATTATCAAATCAGGTCCATTTTTGAAAAAGCCATGAACGCATTCTCTGAAGAGGCTAGGTAGCCAATTCATTTCAGAATTACTTGCACCCGTTATTGTGTTAGTGATAGGTGCAGCTCTAATCCCCATCATCCATCATCAATACTTGATAAGTAGAAACTGTGTTTTGTATTGTCAGGTGTCCCAATAGTGGCATAATTATGTGACTCTGTGTTTATACTTCAGGTGGAACATGTGTAAGAGATTGTGGAGCTGGCTTTTACAAAGATGAAATTACAGAAGAATGTGAACCATGCTATAAGACATGCAAAACATGCAGAGGGGTCAACTACAATGACTGTACAAGCTGCCAAGGAAATTTACAACTGCTGCATGGGAAGTGTGTAAATCCCCAACACAAGGGAAAGCATGGGAAATTTTGGAATGGTAAGTTACTTTCATTTTGCTGCATTTCTTTCACTGTTAGTGCTAGGAACTCTTTGAACAGGAAGGAATTTTCCCTTTAGCAAACTCTCAAAGCAAACTGGGTTTATAGGAGAAATGATGTTATTGGCAGACTTGGAATCGGAGTTGTTACTGACATTTGACATGAGCCTGATATGGGGTGGCTTGATCTGTAATACCCCACAGTTTGTCAGGTGCAAAAGACCAGATCCATATGTGAAGGTTTACTTAAGCTGATTTATGCAGAGGAATCTTCTCAACTAATAGCATCTGATTTGAGTTAAATAAGGATCAAGGACACTCAAAGGGGCTGGACTTAATTCTTTTGTGGCTATGTATGGGTTCTAGGCTAATTCCCCTTTTCACTTCACCAAGTTCTGCCATCCCTTCTTCTCAGGGGTCCTGCACCCAATAAAAATGGGGGGAGGGCTGGTCAGGAAACCTCCCTGAGAAGAGGCCATTTTGTCAGGGACTTTCCCAACCAAGAGTAAATTCTTTATTTTCACCCACAGCATTATTAACAAATGCACAGTTTTAGACTAGTGTGAGCAGGATATTTTTACCCAAAATTTTCATCTATTGTTTAATGTAATATGTTTACTAGCAATGTACTCAGTTATACCCCATGTGAAGAAGACATCGAGACTAGGCCACATGGTTATTGTTCATCCTGTTTTACTGATAGAGAAGCTGAAGCTCCACACCTCAGACGTTTTGGGCTCCGCACGACTGAAGGGCCGCTTCTTCCCTTATGTCCCGTCGCGATACTTGCGGTCGGCTGAGATCGATCTCTTCTCGGTGTCCTCCAGGCATCAAACTGAGATGGAAAGAGCATTTAAAGAGGCATTCTTGGAGAATGCCCGGGTGCTGCCGAAGGCTTTTCCCTTCAAGGCTCACCAAAATCCAAGCCTGAGCGTTATCCGGAAGCGATGTAAGACTAAAACAAATCTTTTTTTAAAAAATATCATTAACCAACATGGAAAGGGCAGGACTTCATTTTTCAGTATGTAAGATAAGGTGGGCTTTTCCCAAGAACCCCAAATGGAAGTTAATATGTGGGTGAGAAGAATAATCCTGTATTTATATTTAATTTGACAGTGGTCCTGGTGCTAAACTTATTCAGTATGATAGTCATCAGCCAAGGAGTAGAAATTCCTATGTTGCCTCAGCATCCTGGCACAATGCAGCATTCAAACTAATGAAACAGTACTTAAACTGTGTTTCACTTCTCCTACTTTGATAATTATTTAATTACGGATAAGCACATGTGACCTGCCTGCTTTAGGACAACAAGCAGATTTAGTACAGGTGATCCTTAACTTACAACCATTCATTTGTGAGCGTGTGAAGTTACAACTGGTCTTCATACCTGCAACCATTACAGTCTCTTGATCAAAATTGAAGTGTTTGGCAACCAGCATGTATTTATTTATAACCATCGCAGTATCTACAAATCATGTGACCGCCATTTGCGACCGCCATTTGGAACAGGAGAATCCTCATTCTGCCTGCCATCTTTCTTACACCAAACAGAAGGGCTATCCATTAGATTTCTCTCTTTAGGGACAAACAGATGCTGAGGAAATGTTTCCTTTCTAATGGCCATTTCTTCTCCCCTGCCTAAACATGGCACAAATAAATTCTGGCAGCTTTTTTTAAAAAATGTTGTTCCATGCTTAGCTCTAATGATGTTAAATTGCCTCTTTCCATTCAGGGTAATCTCAAGGTGAGTTCACCTTTAGGGTTCCTCCCACTTCTCAGAGGAAAATCAGGTCATTGGCAATGATGGGCCACACAGGGGAAGGAGTGACATGAGCAATGGGAACAACGACTTCCATGCTAATATAGCTTTCTTCTAACCAAGGATCTGTGGAACATATCATATTTCAGCAATGTGGAAGAGCCTCAGGTGTTCCTAGGGCATGGTCTAAAAAGCCAATATGGTAGCTGCAATGGTATGCTCAAAACTCCACCATTTTAAACATAAATTGCATGCCTGTTGAACATAAAAATAGGTGGAAGTTCCATTGTTGCCGCCATCTTGATTTCATGGACCATATTGTCAGGATTCACATGTCCTGTGCGCACATCTGGGTAATCTCAAGAAACAGAAATCTTCAGTAGTAATCTTTCCATTTGAACAAATTGAACATGGCTGTGGTGGGAGATTTTAGGGGAAGGTATTAATACACTGTGTTGATTTCAATAAAAAAATACAGGCTCTATTTTTAAAAAGTGATAAATCGGGAGACTTTTCCAATGTGATTTTTTTAGCAACCACAGATTAACCTGTCAAGTCCAAATTTACTCCTGATCGTATGAAAGTTCCCTAATTCAGTACACATAATGGCTTTGCATTCTGCAAAATGTTTAGGTTTTCCTCCTTAGGTTGCCACACTGAGCCATGCTATGTAATCCTGGTTAATATTGATAGTCCACTGGGGATTTCTTGTGCCCAAGTGATGGAGATGATGCCTGTATCTTAGGAGGATGGTTAGAAAGGTATTTCACTGAGAATTCAGCACTTATCTGCAGTCTCAAAATATTACCAATCCCATCACATGGTTGATTAAGTGCTGGGACAGTGGGAAGAATAAGTACAGGGAACCATTAGCAAGATGCTATATTCATATCCAAAGTTTGGATTATGCTAAGTGTCCCCATCTCTAGCCTCTTCAAAGAATGGCCTACCGCTAGTTCAGATATGGCAGATCCAGTATCAAATAGTATGGTTTATTGGAAGACAAACAAGTAACAGATTCCAATACTTATTTTGGCCTCCTTGTTCAGTGCAAACAAACTAATCTGTTCTTAGTTTCCCTGTTTGGATGCAGTATTGGTTTAGTGAACCAAGAAATCTTCTCTATAACCTCCCCAAGGGAGATTCAGAGGTGGGCATACCTGGATTCCATCCCAACACACTTCTCTTTGCTAAATAGGGAGGTCCAAACTTAAACTAAGGAAAAAATTCCTGATAGTGAGAGCAATTAATCAGTGGAACAGCTTGTCTCCAAAAATTGTGGGTTTGCCATCACAGGAGATTGAGAAGAGATTGGACAGCCATTTGTCCAGAATGGTAGGGTCTTCTGCTTTAGCTGGGGTTGAAGGCCTTCCAACTCTGTTATTCTGTATTCTGAATGATTCAGTGAATTGAATCCATTTGCTTACAAACTGGGTCTGATACACATAACTATCTTGTTTATAACCGGAATTTATTTCAAATGATTTAGATATGGCTTACTGCTAATCTCAAGTCTGGCAATTTTTCAAAACTTAGTTTCAGGCAAGTATCGTTTTTGGATAGATTGAAGACCTAAGAGAACAAATGATTTCTGCAGACAGATAATTTTCCTACTTGTAAATTGTTGTGTGCGGAAAAAAAAAACCCATCATCTTCCTTAACCAAAGTTGGATCATTTCCTACAGGCTGCTTCTCCCATAGAATAGAGTTTTTCCAATGTCTGTTTCTGCCAACTGGAAAATAGTAAACTAGAAGATGCAGGGCTGGAAGAGAATTAAATACTCTCTCCCAATCTACTCCCTCTCTCTTCCCCTCCCCCCCACAAGTCCACACATACATACACACAGTTGTAGTCACACAAATTCACATATACACAAGATCTTCATGCATGCACTTTGCAGAGGATGCAGGATTTTTATACGTAGTAACTAGTTAGTAAGAGGACCGTTTTAGTAAATCAGTTCTTAGCAAGGCTAATCCAAATAAACTGTGACAGAGTCTAAAATAATGAACTTGAATTTATCAAGCTTCTCTTTCTTTTCTTTCCAAGGGGGGGGAAATGTCTGGGTCAGTAAGTGTTGCTCTGAACATCTGTATTTTATCTTGTGTACCAGATGATGTTATTGGGGAGCCAGGAGACACAATAATGAAGGCCTTGATTCACTGCATGTTAACACAGCAGTTCAACTGGAAGAATGATTTAAGAAGCATGAACAGGCAGATTACTAACATGTTAAGTCACCAAACTTTTACATTCTTTCGTCAATCTGCAGACACATAAAAATGGGTAGTTAAACGAAAGAAAATAAGGTGACAATATTGTGCCAATATTTTTCAGCTGGGGACGGTTTAAATACTTTTTTTTTAATCAACATGCAATTTCAAATGATATTTTGTGTCAGTACCAATTTTGTTTAATATTGTTGGGTTTTGTTCACAACTGATAGGTTTTAAATATATACAGTCTCTATGCCTGCACAAACAAGTTCAGAAGGATCTGGAATAAGAAACATTGGCTCAGGTTCTCTTCTCAGGCATTCAGAGGAAATTATCTGGCTTGGATTCAGATTCTTGGTCTCTTTAGCTCTAATGTTGGAAAGAGAGAGAGAGAGAGATCAGATTTTCAGATGAAGGGTTTTGTTTGGTTCCATTTGGTTCATTTGGGTTTTCTTTAGGCCCAAGTTTAGGAAACTGCAAGGGATGAATTATTGGTGCTTCCATTGCTTATTTTCAGCTCTTGATATGTTTGCCATGCTCTTCTTATGCTCTGTAGCATCATGTAGGATATATGATGCCCTTAAATTACTATTATGTTGAAGTTCAGTTAAAATGCCCCATGAAGCCTCCCAATTTGACGATGGTGACTGGTTATATAGGTAGGCAAGACCTGACCATTTTATGGGCCCTGGGCCAAATCTGGCCTTTCGGTTGTCCCTGTCAGGTACATGTGGATTGCTTTTATTTTAAGGTATCTGGTGTTGCTGTTTTTTCAATTTACATTTGTGCGTGCATTCATAGCTATGTACCTTCACAACCCTATTGGTTCAGCCTTCCACAACAATTCCAGTTTCTCATGTGGCTTCTTGGGAAAATTTAATTGCCATCCCTGAGCTGGACTTTCTGAAGCCAGCTAAACTTCTCATTTATTTGTAAACTATATAGAAATGAGAATTCCGAAGAATGTTTAATATAAAAGGTGATAAAATTTAAATAACTTTGCATTTACATTTGTTGTAATTGGGAGGCATTTAAAGATGTACATGTCTAGGTTACAGTTTAAAGATAAACACTTACTTTTATCAATCTCTTTAATCCAGAAACTGAACAATTTCTAGGATTTATAATGTTTACATTTCTATTAAACTGGATTGTAAAACTATAATGTTACATATGCGAGTCAGCGTTTGTGCATGGGTGACTATAGTTAACAGACTGAGAAACTAGGTCCATCTTTGGGTGTGAAAGGAAAGCCAATCTATGCTACCCTGGCCATACAAATTATTACTATATTATTGCAAATGATATGATGCAACCTATTTGCTGTGCAGTCCCTCATTTATCAATACATTTTTTTCTGATTTTTTTTTAAAGAATAACATTTTTTACAGTTATTCTGGAATGTGGTTCTGTGAGACCATTCCATTTATTTTCCATTAATAAGTACAAGGTACAAACTATTGATAATTGAACAACTTCTTTTATATCTTGAGGAACCATAAATGATTAAGAATCATAAAAAGAGAAGGCCTTACTTTTGGCTTATGAAACAAAATGCTTCAAGTAGTGAAAAAAATGTAGCAGAAATATTGTCCATGCACAAACCAATGGTTATAACCTTCCCATACCTGTTGCACTCAGTAAGCAAAGATAGAATTTCATCAATAATATAAATTATTTCTTTTATAGTTTTCATACAGAGGGTAGAAATGTAAAGATACTTTACTGTGTAGTTAACAGTGAATGTATAATTTATACAATGAATGTATCATCCCTACTTTAATTTATACATGTAATTATTTTAGTTGAACTTAATATGTTTGCTTAAGAACAGAACAGTAGACAAACATTAATAATGCTCTTAATATGCATAATGTTATGTTATGTAATGTAATACATAATGTTAGAAATGCTCCGATAGAATTGCACTTGTAATTTAACTCTTGATCAGCTAAAATTTACCATCCAGAAAGACAGCTAGTGTTCAGACATTAGCTGTCACTATATCCTAACAATTTGCCATCTCTGAGGCTACAGCACCTGTTTGCAGAATTCAAACTGCCTTGGAAGCTAAGTATGGGGCTCTTTTGTGTGTATTGCTGCCAGGTTTTTGAAGAACTGATACGGCGTTTAGAGAAATACAAGTAAAGCATAGCTATGTAATTAATCAAAGAAACAAATGCATATTTGAGCACATCAAAGTATTTGATTAGAGGAATTTTGCAACCTGGAGGTTTTCAAATTTTCCCAGGAAAAGCAAAGTAAATAGGCAAGCGTATTATATTTGAATGCAAGTTTGACAATGAGCAATGTCAAATTCAGTTCTGAAGCACTTATGAATAAAAATCTACATTTGCTGGAGATAGTTTGAATTGTTGGCTGGTAACTAATATGCCGTCTGCTTCCCAATTCCTGATGCATGTTCCCCTCTGCTGGAAATTCAGAAGTATTACAGTAGTAGCATTTAGAATTGGAATCTCAGCAGATCACAAGTGTTCTTAAAACACTTAATTAATTAACAGAGAACGTTTAGATGTTGTATTGAGGATTAAATAATATGTTGTTGGAAAATGCCTACATCCACTCCACTAATGGATGGTTGATGTCCATTCACCACTTCCTGAGCCAATGAACACCAATTCACCAGGACTGTCTGTCAGTAGCTGCTCTGAGTTTTTGAAAGCTTCTGCTTCTGCTGAAGGCTAATATTGGTTGTTTATTGATAGATGTACTTTAGGTAATGGCTTGGATATCACTGCATCATCAATCATCATCCTTCTGCAGAGAATGCTAAAAATGCATTATGATCTAAGACAACGCTTATTAGGCATCTCAGAAGTTGGTAAAGGTAACGGAGAAGACAAGAATATGGACAGCCCAGTTAGCCGTTTCTTTCTAGCATCTGACTTTCACCATTCCTCCCAATCCAAAACTATAATGATTGTATTCTTGTAAACTGAGCTTCTGAAAAAGAAGTGCAATGGGTAGCATGGTCATTCAGATTCACATATTGCACATAGTGCACATATTGAAGTCAGATTAGAAAACTATCTGGGCAAATAACGATAGATAAATTTAGCTTGGAAATGCTTTTTGAGGTCAGCAGGCCCTGTTTTATTTACATTGCAATGTCCTACAATAGCAGGAAGGATTCCATCACCTCCACATCTGTCCCTTTGTTATGGAAGGTATTAAATGACACTATATCATTATCATATCTGGAATCAAGTACTCAGCCAGGCTATCCAGAGATGTCCAGTGTTATTAACTAGTGTCTTTTTCTTCTTCTCCTCTAATACAGCAACGGCAACTGATTTTCAGCCATGTGCTCCTTCATGCAAAACCTGTGAAACAACGGCAGAGAAATGTACTTCATGTCCCACAGGTATTTATTTATTCCTCTAAATCTAAGATACCATATAATCAGTAGTGGGCTGCAAATTTGTTAACAACTGGTTCTCTGGCTGGGTAGGCATGGCTGGTTGGTCATGTGACTGGGTGAGTTATGTCACTCAACACAGCCAACCCGCCTCCTGGCCACTCGCCTCAAAGGAACAGGCAGGATTCCGGTTAGGGTTAATCCCGTCTCTGGCTGGCCTCACCCCCACCCATTTTTCAGGCTGATTTTGGCTGGAAAAATAGCCTGAAAATAGCTCCAAAAATTACCTGTTTTTCAGCCTGTTTGAGCCATTTTTAGACCATTTTTTGGGCTGTTTTCAGGCCAATTTTGCCTGGGGAAATGGCCTGAAAACAGCTTGAAAAACAACCTGTTTTCAGGCCATTTTCAGGCCATTTTTTAGGCTATTTTCAGGCTGATTTTGCAAGATTGTGAAGACATGGTTCTGGCCTTGGACCTGGGACCCCGGAGTGATATAGAGCCCAACCAGTGGTTTATTGTGGTCAGCCCAGGGGTAAGGATTTGCTGTTTTTTTTTGTACTGGGATTTTATCTATGTAAGTTGCCCAGAGTCACTATGAGTGACTTGAGTGGCCATATAAATTTTCTAAATAAATAAAAGTACAATCAACAATTTCAAGGTATTCATTAAAAAAATTAGAATGCAGACATAAACATAGGAAATTTAATTTTTTAAGAACAATAAATTATAGAACTATTAATTAAGGGAACAACATATTAATCATAATCATTAATCGCCCATCTTGAAAAAGTGCCACAATTGGGTAATAGATGGAATAATGTTTAGTTTTAAAAATAGGTTCTTCCATAATTTTCACTTCATAGAAGTGGGGTACAACTGAGAGATTCTTCTGGGAAAACCACTAGATGAAAGAACATAATCCTACAGATATTTGGGCATCAAGTCACATACAGATAGTCCTTGGCTATAACAGTTCATTGAGCCATGGTGGCACAGTGGTTAGAGTGCAGTACTGCATGCTAACTCACTGCTTACTCCAGGAGTTCGGACCAGCTCAGGATTGACTCAGCCTTTCATCCTTCCGAGGTTGATAAAATGAGGACCCAGTTTGTTGGGGGAAATATGCTGACTCTGTAAACCGCTTAGAGAGGGTTGTAAAATCACTGTGAAGCGGTATATAAGTCTAACTGCTATTGCTGTTGCTATTTAGTGTCAGTTCCAAGTTACAATAGTACTGAAAAAAATAACTTATGACATTTTTTTTATATTTATGACCATTGCAGACAAACCACAAATCTTATTTTGAGATCAGAAGTTTATTTCATGAGCAATTTGGAACATGAAAAGCCATCATAACAACTTTTCTAGTAAGACAGTTCTTACTAACAACCCATTGCAATGAGGTCCAGAGACAGTAGCTAACTCCAGAAAGGATGGCTACTATCCGTGGCCCTGATTTGAGATTTACCCCCTTCTTTTATACCTTTCTTCTTCTGAAGCCCACTCAGTAGTATTTAATCTTACTGCATGTACTTCCCTATTCCTTCACACTGTCCATCACTTAATACCCACTTGTAGGTATATGCCAACTCTCTTACCACCTGCTACTTTCAGTTTCCCTTTTTCACAATGTCCCAGACATTCGTGATCCAAAATAACTCCATTTTTTATTGTCTAGCAAATATATGCTTTTTGCAGAAGTAGCAGATAGCAAACATTGATGTTCTGCAAATTCAGCTCAGCAGATTGCAAATATTTCACCATGCTTGAAAAATCAGCTCATCTGGCGTTATTATATATTGTTAATTTGAGGCCTTCAATTAGGTAGAGGCCTACACCAACTTTAGGGCCTAGTTGCCCTTTTCTCACAAAATGTTTCACTTAGCAATCAGAATTTTGGGTTCAATTGTGGTCATAAGTCAACAACTACATGTACAACTGTATAGGTCATGCCAATAGATGTGGGGGTGGCAGGGAGAATGTTCTTTTCTAGCATTATGCATTGCTGTTTGTAGGAATTTTAAATATATTCTACATTAAATAAGAGCTTAAGCTAGGCAAAGTGTGCACAGTCAAGATATTAACAACCAGGTGCACTTTATTGTTCTATGTTTACTTCTGTATACAAACAACCCACCCACATTATGACAGGGATTATGTCATTTGTCAAGTTAGCAGACACATTGGGAATTTGGAAAGCAAGATTCTTGCATAAAATGGTGATCATAAGAAGCTGGCTTCAATACAAAATGACAAGTTTCACATTTGCTGTAGTAGCTTATCCCTTGTTTTTTCTGCACAAATTCAAAATGAAGCACTGAATTGCAGTGGCCTGCTATTTTCGTTTTATAAATATGTCTGTGGGCCTAACAGAGAGCCCAGAGGGCATTGGGTTAAAATATAATTCCATGGTATTTATTTTTATTTATAGAAGAAATGATTGTTATCCTTCCATTTTTATCCTCAGGATATGTCAGTTCAAATTAGGCAATCAAAACCAATAATAGACCTTCCATTCACTAGTATTGGACTGATGATTGATTACCTGTCAGCAAGTCTATGTTGACTGTTAGTTGACTTGTCTCCATAATTATTTTTTCCCAAAACTGGTTCTTCAGGTCTTTCAACAATTCACCCATAACTACTATAATTGAGTCCATCCACCTTGCTGTTGACAGCACTCTTCTTCTCTTTCCTTCTAACTTTCCCAGCATTACAATCTTCTCCAGAGAGCTAGGTCTTCACCTAATGTGCCTTCACATAGGATAATTTGTGCCTGGTCATTTATTTGTTTTCTTGGCTGTTCATAATATTGTCAAGAGTCCCAAAGTTCAAAAGCATCAAAGCACTTTCTATATGGCTTGTTTAAAATCCAGCTTTTGCTTCCATAAAATGTCATAGGCTCTTTTCCAAACCCTTCATTACTACTCTACCAAGTCCAAATATGCAGTATATTTCTTGACTTCTGGTTTCTTTTCTCTGAAGGTTGACCCTAAGAGGCAAAAACTACCTACCATCTTACTATCTTCATTGTACATTCTAAGGCTGTTTACTGTACCTGTTGTCAACAGTTTGGGTTTCTTAGTAATGACTCATTAAGCTATGAATGAGAAAAGAAAAAAATCATTTGGTGAGTCCCTATGCAACACCATTAGAAGAACAACCCTCCTTTAAAAATCAGTGGGTGTGTAATAAATAGTGTATTCCTGAATGTCTTCCTGAACAATAATAGGTAGTCAACGTTTGCAATAACACCATTGGCTGTCTTTCAAATACACAATTTATACCTATACCAGTGCTTCTCAATCTTTTCTTCACCACGGACCCCGCCCCTTTAAATATCTTTTGTGGACATGGACCATGGCTATGGATCCCCAAGACTTAACTCAAGATTTAAATCGTAACATTTCTTCAAGCCTTCACGGACCCCCCGTGACCACATCATGACTCCCCTAGAAGTCCACAGACCAGAGATTGAGAACCACTGACCTATATCATTCTTTTTCAGGCAAATTTCTTTTTGCTGGGACCTGTGGCCACGATTGCCCTCCTCAAACTTTTCGTAATACGAAGATAAAACAATGCGAGAACTGCACCAAGGACTGTGAAGAATGCACAGCAAATCAACACTGTCTGAAATGTTTGTCCAGTACAAACACACCACACTATTTGCACAGAGGCAAATGCTTACAGGAGTGCCCCATGTATGTACCCATTTATATTCATTGCTGCAAACTCCTAGGTTGTCACATTTCAATGTGGCATTTCCACTTCCCCATTTCCTACATTGCAATATTTGTAACCTTCTCCTTGGAGAAGGCTATGAGGTCCCTTGGCTTCTTCAGAAGGTTTGCAAAGATACATATACATTCCTCTGGATTCCTCTGATGGGTTTCCTAGACTTGTTTTTAAGCAGAGTGGAGAGATTCCCATTCCAACATTCTAAGAATGTGAGCAGCCCTTTGAGAACTTATTGAGAAGGTATTAATACAGGAGGAGGGAGAAAATAGGATGAAGTCAAGAGATTGAGTAAAGAAGGATCTAGTTTACAATGATTTCATATGCTTAATGAAAAGAAAGTTTGAATATGGATACGAAGCTAATTAGAAGTGAAAAACAGAAAATGGAATTTGAAATCAAACTATGTAGAAATAATGCATGTGTAATACCCAAAATTGTTAACAATTAATAACAATTGTTATTGTTAAGATTTAAAACAGACGAAGAAGAGTTTAGAAAATAGGGACACAGCTGGGTGCATATCTTGGTCAGATAGTGACGATCCAGGAAGTAGAAGGACGGTGACAATCAGGGTGAACATCAATGCCTTCAGGACAGAGGCCCTACAGGATCTAATCCTGTTTGTTTCCCTTCTTTTTACAAAGACTTTGGAATCAGATGAGCAACTGGGCAGAGAGAAAGAAAGACTGAGTGATTGGCATTCATTTTGCTATTCTTTTTTCTAAAATATTTTGTTTGTGCAGGGCCTCAGATTCAGTTCCAAAAAGGGCTTTGAAGTATATTGGAAGGGAGGTTATGGAAAGCAAAAAAAAAAAGCACTTCTCTGCACCTGTTTTAAAGCAGTTGTCTCTTTCTCAGGACTGTTTGGCAGTTACAAAAGGCTGATTGTTCTTAAGGAATACATGACCTATCTAAAGGATGTAGAATCATTAAATCAGGGATCTAAGGATACCCAGCTGCAATATTGGCCAAGTAGCCCCTATTACAATCATAGCATCATTTCCATTAAGAGCATGTTTTCCCAGATCAAAAACACTGAGATGAAAGTTGTTGCTTTGATCCTTTCAAATCACCTGTTAAACTTTCTGAGCAAATTCCCTGTATTGCTTACCTTGCTTTATTCAGGGTATCGGAAGCTTGAAAAAAAACATAATTGAATTAATATTCATTTAACTATCCATAAGTATAATCATTTTCCAAGGAAGTGAGAAATGCGCTAAAATATTTGGGGGTTCTTCTGGAGGACCTGATCTTTCATAGTTTAATAACGATAAGGAGATATGTAGCTCTGATGCTAAGTTGAGCATTATGCATTTTGTTTTTCTTCAGTATGGTGGGAATGAAATTGCTTTGCCATAGTTCTTCAAAGAAGAAATTGGTGATGGTTATTTTGAAATTGGAAATTGGTTATTTTGAATGAAATCCAGGATCCTTGGCGAAGGGATTATGTCTTCAACCACTCAAGCTTTTTTACTTTCAGATAAATCCTGAGGAAACAGACCTTGATGAAATTCATCCTAAGGACCTTCTACTTTTTTTTTTAGATCAAGAAATGTGCGCAAACAGGGGGACTCCAGAATATTGGAGAAAAGTGTCCCAGAAAACAACAGCAGCAACATTTTTCACATTATTGAAATCATAAAGTTAGCTCATAAACTCCAGCAAATTGTATTCTTCAGAATGAGAAAATAAAACAGAACTTTTGTTTAAGTTTTACCTTGAAAAGAAAATTATCCAGAAACTGGATTTCGGTACAGTTATCTTACAATTTCAGAATCAGATCAGTACATAGTTACGATACAGTGGTATCTTGGTACTCAACTGCCTTGAAACACATCAAATTTGGTACTCAATGCATTTTAACACAAAAATTTTGTCCCGGTAGTCATTGTTTGATATTTAACGCACAAATTAGAACTTGTTTGTGTTGGCTGCCTTGTGACTCACTATATTATTCCTTATGGGAAAAATTTATTTGGTACTCATCATTTTTTATACTCATCGCACCTCCCGGAACCAATTAATGATGAGTAATGAAGTACCACTGTAAATACTTTTAAACTCATCCTCTTGATATTTTTTTTTAAATAGAACTTTATTAAATTTCAAAAGAATATAACATATAAAAAAATCAAGAACCGAAAAATTAAGAGGTAAAAAGGGAAAGGAGCAGAGAAAAAAGCAAATTTGAGGGATGCAGACAGAAAGGAGAAAAAGCTATGCAGTACTTTTGCTGAGAATTATAATGTATTTTATCACTTGATTGGGGTTTTTTTTCCCTCTCTTGCTGCAGGGGCTTTTTTGCTAAAGATGGGAAGTGCGGGGAATGCAGCCCACCATGCAAAACATGTAGAAAAAATGCCACCACATGCCTCTCCTGTGAAAAGCCCTTGCTGCTAGAGAACTTCAGGTGCAAACCTGAATGCTCCAGGGGGTATTTTGCTGCCAATGGAACCTGTGAAGCTTGTCCTCAGATGTGTCAGGAATGTATTAATCAAAGCAAATGCAAAGGTAAGCCAAGAATCCAGTGAGCCATGCAGCGTTTCAACCTTTCCACGCATCCAAAATGTAAAAACTTCTTCAGAATGCATTGAGTTCTGTCCTGTCCTTCAAAGTTCATCTTGGCATGTTATCTTTTAAGCGTAGAAAATATAACACCTTCCCTGTGATTGTTTAAAGTTTCAGTTGGAAGTAAAGCAATGAGATCAAGCCATTCAAAATCCAGAAGTTAATGATGAAAATTTATTGACAGACATCTCAATCTGAAAGCCATTGCCAGCCAGCTGAAAGAAGGAAAAGATGCTGTGTTTTTGCACATCTGTATAGGTGGAGATGCAGCTTCTTTTTTTCCTATAATTTTATTGTATTTTTTAAAAATAAATACCAAGAAAACAATATCCAGAAATAATTAAAGAACAGTGGTGTATACATATCCAACCAATTAATTAGTTACACAATGATAACACCAAAACAAACAAAAAGACAATAAAAATAATAAATTAAAACAAGCAAATAGAAAAAAGCAATAAAACACAACATACTATGTTGATATAAATCACATAAACACGCTTCATATTCATTTAATTGTTTAAAACTTTACATTAAACCTTATTTATGCTTGTAATATATTATTAAATGTATGTCAAATGGAAATATGCTATTTTTAATAGTATTTCACTATTTTCACTATTTTATGAGTGAAAAAAATAGTTTCAAAATGAATAAATTACATGTTTCTTGAATTCAATCTTGATATGTGGGATAATAGTATTTTTCTAATCTCTCAAAAGAGCCTCTTAAGATTCCCCATGTCTGATACAAGCAATATTTCTCAAAATGATTGGATTCCATGATTTTGGAATTATAGTTAAATATTGCATTCATGTTTTTAACTTGTAAACATTTATCCCTATATCAAGCAAGTTTTTTTATTTTGATCATGATTTTTAGATGGTTATGGGTTGTTTAAACTTTGTAACATCAAGAGTCACTATTGTGAGATGGCACTATATAAATCATATAAATAAATAAATATTACAAATATTTTTGTAATATTTTTCCAATCCCCTTACACTAAGCTGTTATAAAAATAATTCAGTAAAGGAAATACACAGACAAACCACAAGCAATAAATCTTACTTTGAGATCAGAGTTTTATTTCATGAGCAATTTGGAACATGAAAAGCCATCATAACATAACAACTTTTCTAGTAAGACAGTTCTTACTAACAACCCATTGCAATGAGGTCCAGAGACAGTAGCTAACTCCAGAAAGGATAGCTACTATCCGTGGCCCTGATTTGAGATTTACCCCCTTCTTTTATACCTTTCTTCTTCTGAAGTCCACTCAGTAGTATGTAATCTTACTGCATGTACTTCCCTATTACATCATACTGTCCATCACTTAATATGCACTTGTAGGTATATGCCAGCTCATTTATCATCTGCTACTTTCAGTTCCCCTTTTTTTCAATGTCCCAGACATTCGTGATCCAAAATAGCTCTATTTTTGATTGTCCAGAAAACATGCTTTTTGAAGAAATAGCAGATAGCAAACTTACTACTGTTCCTGCAAATTCAGCTCAGCAGATTGCAAATATTTCACCATGCTTGCAAAATCAGCTCAGCCGGCGTTATTATATATACTTAATTTGAGGCCTTCAATTAAACAGAGGCCTACACCAACTTTAGAGCCTAGTTGTCAACTTGTCACAAAGCCAAATATGACTAAATAGTATGCATTGATGTATTCTCATATTTCATTTATTTGTTACAGTGAAAATCTATAATCTGTTCTTTTCATTCTTTAAGGGATCCAATAAATTCAGAATAAAATATGTTAATGAATTAACTTTAACTCCAGAGAAGCAAACTTCACCATTTTTATGATGTTCCATTCTCAGTTATTCTCATTCTTTATTCTATAAGTAAAGAATACCGGCAATTTCAAATTTAAATATACACTTTTTTTTTTTATTTTGACATTGGTTTGATTTCATAAACAGATTCCATAAAAAGGGGAGGAAAGGGCACCTGTGTAACATAGCACTTAGACTTATATACTGCTTCACAGTGCTTTACAACCTTCTCTAAACGGTTTAGACTCAGCATATTGCTCCTAACAATCTGGGTCCTCACTTTCCTGATCTTGGATGGATGGAATTCTGAGTCAACCTTGAGCCTGGTGAGATTCGAACTGCCAAATTGCAATGCAGTACTGCATTCTAACCACTGCGCCACCACAGATCTTTATCATACTCAAAACATGCTTGAGTTGATTATAAGGCCACTGAAAACATGTTAGGCTAAGTCAACTTTTTCTGGAGTTGTTGAAAATCCTTTAAAATCATCATTGCAAAGTAAGAGATTTTAATGTAACTGTTCCAGAATCAGGCTATATAACTTCCATCTATTTTTAGAGTAGAGCTTTTCCACAAAGTGAGCAATCCCATCTACATCCCAAT